AGACTGTCAACCTGCCATCTAAGCCCCTGGAGAGCTCTGTGCTGAGATGTGAACAGGGAAAAAAAGGCAAGGGCTGCCAGAAATGTTTAAAATAAGAAAATAAAAGCAGGTTTGTTGTGAACTGACTAGGATAGAGATCTAGGAGTGACAGCAGGAAGAATCTGCTCTGCAGACATTTTGAGACCAATATGGTTTTAGTAGACCTTCAGGTTCTTTGATAGAAGCAAAAAAAAAAAAAAAGTTTTCATCTCTGCATCACGGCATATGTCCCTCGTCTTTATTTGAATTTTATTAAGCCAAAACCACAACAGATCAGAATATAGAACAGGCTTCAGCTTCAGCTGTCTTACTTTTATAGAAGGGAATTAAAGAAAATCACTTTTTCTTTTTTTCCAACCTGCCGATCGAGTTTTAAGGTTTTAAGGTCAGTTGTTTAATTGTATCTCAATAAATTTCACATATAATTAGGATTGTGTGACATGCAGAATCGTTTTAAATCGGTATCAGCCGTTACAGATGGCTCAGTCTGGTGTTTGATATTTTTCGGCTTCCATCAGGATGTTGCTAACAGCTGCTCCCTCTATTGTGTCTCTGCTCATTATTCGGGCAATGACAGGAGCCCTGAGGTGTAGAGTATACAGTTCAGAGCTGATGTGCCTGCATGTTTTTCCCAAAGTGTAAAGTTTCCTCTGTTGTCTTTTGTGTTTATGTATCAGGCTGCAGCAGGAAACATTATCAACATGTTGTGGCAGCTGATGGAAAACGGGTTGGAGGAGCTGAAACTCTTACAGACTGTCCTGGTCCTGTTAACCACCAACACTGTTGTTCATGACGAAGTTCTTTCAAAGGTAAAAAGAAAGCTCTAAGTTTTCTTTAATGTTTGCGTTTATGCTTTTCTACAAATCTAATGGTAAATGAAAATCCTTTGCTGACAACTTGCTGACCTTGAAAGTTTGCTTTTCTGGAGTCCATGGATTCATCACTTTACTGTAATCTTTCAGTGAAAAAGTTCTTGCTTCTACTATCATGCATGGATCTACATGCTAGCTGCAATTCTATCTAGCCTTCTACTAGGGGTGTAAATCACATCCATCATGTCGATTCGATTCAGTATCGATTTCCTGACCCAACGATTCGATTATTTTCGAAACTCAAGAATACTGCACGATACGATTCGATTCAATTAATTGGTTTACTTTTTGTTTTACCTAACAAGCTAGACAATGTTTCAAATTTTAAATAAATCAATGAAAGCTGTAATATCGTTATGCAGTTTTTTAGAAACAGAAGTAGAAAAGTTGCACTCCACCTATTCGTATTAAAACCTCATTCACTGAAAAATAATAATACCCCTGCATTATAGATTCTTAAAAGTCTTGCATCAAAAAATACTGCAGAAAATCAGTGCAATGACTGTAATGCAATACCTCGGCTCCAGACGTCCCGCCCCCTTGAGAGACCCTCCGCTGCTCCTCTCCCAGATTGTAGCTGACCGCAGACAGTGCCGCAGACAGGAGGCTGGCTTGTTTTGATTTTATGACCGAAATTGCGGAAAACAATTCATGAAGTTTGACCCGCTAGAAGAGCGAGGTGCACGAGAACGCTGGGACCCTTTTTCCACCTGGATCTCCGCTCTTTTTGGCCCTCATGTCCCTCCGTTGTCGGACTAAACTCGCCCCCACTTCCTCGCCGCCTTGGCCGTATCTAGACCCACAGCGTGTAGCGCAGACCACGCTTCAATATNATTATTATTATTATTATTATTATTATTATTATTATTATTATTATTGTCATGATGGTTGTTATTATTATATTGTAGCCAGTCACAGCAGGGAAGCTCTATACCATCAACATCTACCAGGACAGGAGATGAGATGAGGAAGAGTTCAGGGAAAACACAGAGACAGAAAAAGACCAGGATGAGGGAGAGCAGATGGGTGACGGAAAACAGGGAGATGAGCCAGATGAAAGAAGAAGAAAGATGAGCAAGCATGCTACTTTAAAGTAGTACGCTTTAGTCTGTTCTGTTGGTGGTGTGACTTTTTTTCCATTGAAAACTCACGTTTAGAGAATGTTACAAATAAAAGTCAAATTTCATTCAACATGCATGTATTTTTTTTATATAATTAAGTGTTCCACGTGCGCTAAAAAGTCCCCTTCCCCCCCTCCTGAGCACCTGCCCCCCAAAATGTCTGTGCACGCCTCTGAAGTGGTGGATCCCCCTACGAAGGGGGCCTAATGATTAGAGCAGCGCACTTGTGCTCTGAGAAGGTTGCAAGTACCCGGTTCAGTCCCAACAGCCTACACTCTGGGTCTCTGAGCAAGACCCTTAACCCCTGATTGCTCCCCAGGCGCCTCAGATTGGCAGCACACTGCGCCCCAAGAGGAGTGAAGTGAATTTCTCCATTATGAGATCAATGATCTTCAGTTATTATTATCTTGAAAATACCAACAACAAAAAAATGCATTTCTCTTGTGGTTCAGATTGTGTTTAAAAGTGTGAGAGGAAAACAGGATATAAAAATGTCCTGAACATGCTGACAATTTGTAACTATTGAGCTTTCCAGGTGAAGTCTGTCTTTGAGTTTACATAGTCTCATCTTGATCTCAGTTATCCTACAGAAGAGGGAATGTTTTTATGGAAGTAAATCTGTGCCGCTGGGATTTAAATCAAAAATGTCACTGAAATATAAATGTATGTTTGTACTTACTCTTTCTGTGTTAAAATATATTCAGAAAACATTTTCAACCTAAAGAAAAAGTCATTGTCACTAGTGGCTGTTTGTTGGACACCACAAATCCATTGCTAATGTTTTTGACCTGAAGTAACCTTTCCCTTTTTACATTGAATTTAGACTCTGAATTTAACACAGTGAAATAGAGCCAGTTGATCTTAGTTGCTGAAAACATTGAGTTTGAAATTTGAAAGGCTGAATTTTTTACATGCTGCTTTTTTTAACACTGGAAAGTCAAACTGAAAAAAAAAAAAAAACAGGTAACTCTATATAGATATAGTGACAATTCTTTTTTTAGGTTGAAAATGTTTTCTGAATATATTTTAACACATAAAGAGTAAGTACAAACATACAACATTTATATTTCAGTGACATTTTTCATTTAAATCCCAGTGGCACAGATTTACTTCCATAGTTTTGCCTTCTGTCAAAGCAGGAATGGTAAATGGCCTGTACTTATATAGCACGTCTTCAAGTCAGAGGACTTGATCGAAGCGCTTTACACTATATTACAGTACAGGAAGGGAGGCATCAAATATGTTTGAGTAGTCCTGTAACACTTTTATTGATTGTTTGTAAAAGTTCTAAGTGATGCAGCTCTTCAATAAGACCAGGATCTGTTGTCTGCTCTGTCTGTAATTTCCCAGGGATTTATTTTCTGTGTAATCAAGGAAACCATTGGCTGAGAAAATGTATAAGTAGCTTTTTAGTGTGCAGGTATGCAGGCACGGTTCAACCTGAGGATCTACACTCACCTGCCACTTTATTAGGTACCCCATGCTAGTAACGGGTTGGACCCCCTTTTGCCTTCAGAACTGCCTCAATTCTTCGTGGCATAGATTCAACAAGGTGCTGGAAGCTTTTCTCAGGGAGTTTGGTCCATATTGACATGATGGCACCACACAGTTGACGCAGATTTGTCGGCTGCACATCCATGATACGAATCACCCGTTCCACCGCATCCCAAAGATGCTCTATTGGATTGAGATCTGGTGACTGTGGAGGCCATTTGAGTACAGTGAACTCATTGTCATGTTCAAGAAACCAGTCTG